AGGACGCAGAGAGGCGCCGGGTCAACGCGCCAGGTAGCAACGCCTCAGGACACCCGTCGACGTCGTCCTTGCCGTCGTCCTTGCCGTCGTCCCCTGCCGTTGTCCTTGTCGCAGCCTTCGAGGCCGACTTGGCCGTCGTCATAGTTCGCGGCCAGGACGCGTACGATTTCACACAAACACGCACATACACACTCACACACACTCACTCACTCACTCAAAAACACACATTTACACTTATATACACGACTCTTGTACTCTAACAAAAAAAAAACACGCGTTACACTAATATACATACAGAAACACACGTTTACATATATACATATACATGTACACCCGCGTGATACATCATACATAGTAAAAACGTACACGTACGCGACAATCGGCAACAATTTTATTTAATACAAGATAATTATACATATTTACACATATACACTCATACGAAAAAAGAAAAAATCATCGCAAGCGTTAACGTAGGAAATCAACGACGTGAACATGAGGTCCTTGCACGCAGCCTCCTGGAGCTTCGCCCTTCTCGCGGCCACGGTGGCACTGCTGCCTGCCACGCATTGGGCACCCTTCGCCCACGCTGCGTAAGTAATATCTCTTTCATTTGTTTATCTTACTCTTCTTACACGTCTTTTTAATAAACTATATCATAAATTATATCAAATGATTTTCGATTAAGGAAAAAGGATAAACAGATTGGTGTGTTGTCCGATAATTTAAAATTTATACATGTGTTTAGAAACATTTGTTTTTTGTTATCTATCATTCTCATTTCTTGTTCATTATAGTGATAAATTGTTATTGAAGAGTTTCATGTATGAATCGATTCTTCATAAGTTCGTATGAAATAATTTCTTTAGAAAATTGTCCAAAAGTCTGGTTATTTCTTTCTCCATGTGTATGTGTGTCTGTGTTTCTCTTTCTCTCTCTTTGTACGCGTGAGATATGTCGTTGGCGGATTCGCAACGTTGCCCTCATTTCGTTTTATCTACGCTCGACCACGCGCTTTGTATCCTATTCTCTCTTTCTTTCTTNTCTCTCTCTCTCTCTCTCTCTCTCTCTCTCTCTCTCTCTCTCTCTCTCTCTGACTCTCTTTCGTCTCTTTCGTCGATTTTTCCGTGTTTTTTTCCTGGGTGAGATAACTTCGACATTTTTGTGTGTAGAAAAATATGGCTCGATCGTTATCACGGAACAAAAATACCTTCTGAATAAAAAGAAAGAGAGAGAGAGAGAGAGAAAGAAAGTGATGAGAGACAACAAGAGGAGTAAAATGTTAGACTCCGGTGTTCAGAAATAGTCTGAGACGATTCGTACGAGGTGTCATTACGCTTATGTTTAGCTACAACCGACGGCAACGCGACACGACGCCAAGGGGCTTGAAACACCCTTGTGGTTGTATGTAAATGTACGGAAATGTAAAGCTCCTCGGACCGCGTATTACAACCTCCCTGACTCGTATCACCTCGCTTATGTCAACGAACATCCTACTCTACGAGGAACTCAAACTATTCCAGATTAGTATTCCCCAGTAAAGATATTTCACAGATAACTATACAAATGCGTTTTGTTGAAATTAAACAGTTCCTATCTTATCCATTCATCGATTTAAATAAAACAAAGATATCACTTTTTATATTATTTTTTATTAAATAAAATTTATTTAGGTATTATAGTATTTAGTAAAAATATTCAATAAAATTAATATAAAAAAGTTTAGTATTATATATATTTAGTATTTTTACTAAATAACTAAATAAAATTAGTATAAAAATATTTAGTATTATAGTATTTTTACTAAATACTAAATATAAAACCTATTTATATATTAGTATAGTTAAAAAGAAAAAAGGGTAGAAGAAATATAGGAATATATTTTGTGTTTTTAATTTTGTAATATCAAATAAAAAATACATACTTAATTACAAACTAATAACGTCTAGTTTAGAAAACAAAAAGTTTATCTACGACGAGTTTAATAATAAAGTAATTACAAATTTTAATATAATACTTAAACACACAAAAATTTGTCTACCAATCATATCAAATTGCATAATTGTTCGAGTATAATATGATAGATATGATAATATACTAAACTGTTATAGATCGACAAGGTAATAAGTATAGTTAGCTGAAATTATCAATATTTACGCTTTTCTTCGAAGCACAGAGTCTCGTCTCGTTCCACCTGTTTCCTTCTCGAGGGTCGTGCCTCTCTTCGGGCTCCTCCAAACCCTACGAGTACCAACCGCGAAGGTTCTGTAGTGTGGTATCGGTGATCACAGTAGAGCTCTCGAGGCAGGAGGGTGCTCCCGATGTGGCAGAACTCCAAATCTTCCCCTCTTTATCCCTCCCCCTCGCTCTTTCTCTCTCTCTCTCTCTCTCTCTCTCTCTCTCTCTCTCACTCTCTTTTCATCTATCTATCTATCTTCCGGCTAGTAAATCCCTTCCCATTTTCTGGACCACCGGCAAATCGTCCTCTTTCTTATCACGAAAGGCATCCCTCTTGGATTTACTAACATCTTTTGATTCTGTTTTAAAAAGAAAAAGAAAGAGAAAGAGAGAGAGAGAGAGAGAGATATAGGAACGATCTTCAACTTTTCATTGTTCCAAATTTCTTCTCGTTAAATTTACCGACTTAGAGGTACAACAAGAAAAAACAAACAGAATCGAACGTTTTACACATAAATATCATACCCCCGATATCGATCGAATTAAGGTACATACATATATATATGTAGTTGTAAGATTTATCTTAACCTAAGATCGTTTCGCAATTTTATCTATCGAAATAGACGAAAGAATAACGTCCATTCCCTTATCTAGGAACATGGGGAAAATATCAATCGTTTTTAAGAAGAACGAATAAAAGGGGGTTGAAAGGGGTGAAGAAGTTAAAGGGAGGGGGGTTTGGAAAAAGCATCAATGTTCCTGTTTGTTATCTTTCTACTGAGTTGTGTTGTAAGTTCGACGAATGTTGGTTGACGTTGGTGAAGTGATCGGTGATTCGTGGAGAAAACGGGTGGATGAGGGGATCTATGAGGGGTTGAAAACGTCAGTGGTGGTATGTCTCATCCGGTCGCGAATCGTCGTGTTTTCTTCGTGAAAAAGCATCGGATAGTCTGACTCGGAAACGAGAAAAATCGTGCCAAGTCATTCGACTCTCCGCGGTCTTCTGACCCACTTACCCGAAAGGGAATGGGTGGGTGAATTGCGCGCGCGCACATACACATACACATACACACACGCGTTTTACAAGAAACTACGGGTAAAACCAAATTCAACCCCGTCGTGTTACTTCTCCACGTGTCGACGTGGGTTTTAAAGTTCGCAACGACAACTTATTTTCGTAGAATTACTACGAGAAGGAGGAAGAATGATAACTCGTTTAAATACACGCTAACGATAGGAAATAATAATAATTATAATAATTATTTATATGAAATGAGAAAATTTTGATGTACATTAAAAAAATTAAAAAAAAAAAATAAATATTACCGATAACTCAACGAACCGTAATAGTTTTAAAAGCTAAAAATCATTCGTCGATGCGAGAATTGATTTCTTTTTTCTTTTTTTTTTTTTCTTCTAAAAGGGTGAACATCGAGAGATACGCTTCGTTAGGGTGGAATGCTTCTTTTGTTGTTATTTATTTATTTTTTTTTGATCGAAAAAATATTACGATCAACGTTAGGAGTTTCAATGATTACCATGTCGTACTCGTAAAGATTAATATGAAAAAGAGAAAGATAAAAAGTATGTAAATATATATATATATTTGTATTTTATTTATAAAAGATAGGAAAAAGAGATTCGATCGATCGTTGTATTGTTGATTTGACAAAGACAAACAGACAGATAGACAGACAGACAGGCGGCATACCATCATGGATCAACGATTTTCACGTCCTCGTTCGAAAATACGTGCAGTACCACTCGAGAAAGACAATTAGTAACTGACATCTCGAGTGCAGAAATAGGCAATAACGATGTTCGAGGAAGAGGAGGAAAAGGAGGAGAAACAGAAGGATGAGAAAGGGTAGGAGGAGAAGGAGGAGGAGGAGGAGGA